GTCAATTTGAAGCAGGTAATGAAGACGCGATCTCGAGCTAGCTTTTTTGATGGGTTTTTCGGAGACAAGCAGGGGGACAAGTTCGACAAGGGTAATTTTGTGCCTTTGGAGGCGGACAGCGATACGAATGTTGGACTTGATGGAAGTACGGAGAAGACATATGGGCCTCTTGCGATTCTTGCGGCAGGGTTGTTCGAGGCAGAGTTTGCTGCATTGCAAATGCTGTTGAATGAGATGGGTGCAGATGAGGTGAAGTTGTTGCCATATACGTCAACGATGGCGACAAAGACTCTTGGGGAGGCTCTGGAGAGTATGCAAGATGAGTTTGAGGATCCTTTTGAGGGATCAAAGCCTGTGGCGTTCTTGAGTGGAATGTACAGCAGTGAAATTGTGGAAGTTGTAACAGCTCTTCGCTATTGCGAGGATTTGCCTGATATGGCGTTTGCGGCGGCTGTGCCGAATAATTATGGTAGAATCGTTCAAGAACTCATTGATGATGTACATGCGGATCACGCCGCGGTCGCTGCCATGAGGGCAGAGATGAGAACAAATGATGACGAGACAGAATAAACATTTGTATACTACATTTTACATATTTTGAGGCCATTGGGCGTATTCTTGTAGCTCATATGCCGTATGTGATGGTGTAACACATTCTAATGCGTTCAAAAAGTCCTGCTGAGAGACACAAGAGGCACTTTGCATGTTGTTTCGCAGTGCAATTATTGTTGCCTCCTGGCATACTGCTTGCAGCTCAGCACCAGTGTACAGTTCTGTTTTCTCCGCAATATCACACAATGATACATCTGAAGCGAGGGGTACATTTTTTGTGTGCACTTCCAGCGTTTGTAGACGCCCTTGATAGTCTGGAGGCGGCACATAAATGTGAATGTCAAATCGACCTGGGCGCAGCAGGGCAGAATCAATGGCAAAAGGCCGATTCGTCGTTCCCATGATCAACACCCCAGATGAATCATCTATACCATCGATTTCCGTCAGAAAGGTTGTCAATAGTCTCGTTGAGACGTTCACGCTATGGTCATCATCATGTCCTCGAGATCCAACCAGTGTATCAATCTCATCAATGAAGAGAATGGATGGCGAGGAAAGACGAGCCCTTGTGAAAGCTCGACGGAGCTCAGCTTCTCCATCTCCCACAAACATCGAATACAATTTAGTACCAACCAAAGGGATAAAGATGGCGCCAGAAGACGTGACAGCCGCACGTGCCAATGTTGTCTTGGCACAGCCAGGAGGTCCATGGAGCAACACACCTTTTGGGAATTTAATTCCAAGCCTGACAAAATCGTCTGATCGCGTAATAGGCCAGACGCAATATTGCTGAAGCAATTCTTTGACATGATCTAAACCCCCAACATCATCCCAAGATGCTGGAGAGAATGTGTCAGTTACTGATCGAGCCACTGATGCCCCAACATCATGCATGGCAGCTTCAAAGTCGTCTTCGGTCACTTCTTTCGAACTTCCTTTCTGCTTCAAATTGTAAATGATGGCAGCAGTACATAATGACTTCAAGTCCGCCCCAGTATATCCATGGCACCTCTGTCCTATTCGTCTCACATCAAATCCTTGCATAACATTCATCCTACGAATCAATTCGGCGAGTATCTTGCATCGAGCATCTTCATCTGGTATACCAATCATAATTTCTCTATCAAGCCGACCAGGGCGTCGAAGAGCGCCATCAATCGAGTTGGGATGCGTGGTGACTGCGATGACAACAACGTGCCCACTGTCACTTGATCGCCTGCTCTTGGCCACTGACCCGTCCATGAGCGTCAACATCTGAGCCACTAGTCGCGCATCTTGCTGAGAACTTCCTGCCTTTCTCTGAGGAAACAACGAATCAGCCTCTTCAATCAAAATGATTTGAGGCTTCTGAGAATGGCATGCCTGCTCCTCTGCCTTTTCAAACACCTGCCTCAAATTCCTCTCAGACTCCCCCATATACTGGCCAATCAGAGTTGCTGGCGTCACTGTATGAATTGAAGCATCATATTCACGAGCAACATGCTGTATAGAAGCTGATTTACCCACCCCTGAGGGCCCATGAACGAGCACACCCTGTGCCCAACTCACACCAAGAATGGCCCCTTCCTTCCTGTACTTTACTGGCCACCCTATACACTGCATCCATAAATGTATTCTTATAAAAGTGCCATGCCATCAAAGGAATAGACCATCAGGCCTCATACCTCTCGTAGAGCGTCCAGCACAGAATCCATGCCTAGAAGCTCAGTTGTCACATTTTCTGTTCTAGATACCGTATTATACGATGTCTCAGCGTTCTGTTCTATTGATAATGCTTCTATCGCATGCCTAACGTTATCAATTGCATGCAAAGCCATTATTCTGAGTATTCAAGTTTTTGCAACGTTTGTTTCATGGGCAAATTTCGAAAAGAATTCTCTCCTGGCGCTATATATAGCGATATATTTTATTACTATGGAATCGAAAGACATGGTTTTGGCTTTAGAATCATGCTCAGCGCAGCTAGTTGCGAGGGATTCATTCATTGGTCAAGAGCTCTCTTACAAAAAAATAGGGAATCTCTGTATTACATATTGTTTCTACGCTTATAGTTACCCTGGCGGCCTCCTGCAACACGACCGAGCTGCATAAAGCTAGAGTTGTCCTTTGATCCTCTAACACGGCCCTTGCCGTAGACACCACCACTGAAACCAGCATCTGCAATGAAACCTCCGGAGCGATCATTAAATCGGCGTCCACGTCCTCTGCCACGTCCCCCTGGAAGTCTTCCGCCCATGCGTGTTCTTCTTCCAGCTGCTTCGGGACCTTTCCTTGATCCTTCTTCATCATCATCGGTGATGAGCACGCCGGTGCGCATGGCAAGTGCTCGCTCATTGTAATCTACCAGCAGGGATGCCCTGTCTGCAAACTTGGCTGCCAAGGATTGGAGAGCTGTCGGTTCTTCATGATGCATCACAACTGTATTAGTTGGTTGATCAAAGCTGCCTGCTAAAATCTCGTCTGCAATCATTCTACTGACTATGGCATGGACACGGCGGTCAGACAATTCAAACATTTGACACAACTGTTCCATGGATAGTGAGGTGTAAAACTTGGCATGAGCTAACAAGTATGATCTCAGGCCTTCTTCTTGGAATTTTTCCTTCACCATGTCCAACACTGCTTCTTTATGAGAGCCTAACAGGCCCCAGCAGGGCAATGCTGACACATATGCAAATGCCTTCTTCCAATCACCAGTAGCAAGTGTTCTACAGGCGGCAGTCATATGATCTCTAACATTCTCTGGTGGACCTAAAAAGGTCTGTCTGTCGTACATGTCCATCAGTTTCCTGAGTGGATGCTTTGCACCAAGCCTCTTGGTGTCCATGTTGCTCCACTCGATTGCACCAAGAAGTGCCATGGAGGATACTTCAAGGAGTATTGTACACGTGAGGAAAGAGGCCTCAAGAAGCTCCAAATTAATATGCAAATGGAATGGAACTTGTCGCCTCTTCTCAGCCATCTCCTGCTCTGCTGTCTTCTCCTGGTATCTGTGTTGCTGCATTCCCTGGGCAAGCAACTCCTTCACCTTGAGAGACGCGTACAAATCAATCAGACAGGAGTACGCGTCGTTAATGAGACCATTCCTGAACGCACAGAGACCTAATTGTGCTGTGGTTCTATTGAAGAGGATTTGCATGCGAATATCAAGCTGCTGCGTCTGTTCAGAGATACGAGACATGAGCAGCATATCTCTTGCCCCATAAAAGTCATCATGAATTGACTTGAAATACACAGAATAAAGCATGGCATTTCCTTTCTGATTATCATTCCCGTATGCATATACAATGAGCGCGAGTTCCTCCATCAATCCTCCAGCCTCTTCAGGAAGGTCGAAATTGGCTGGCAGCACAAGCGTGGGTACATTAGCAGAGTCGTCACCACCATCTTCTCCCACATCCTCTTCGGTTGGACGCTGAGGCTGCTCCTGAGCCTCCTTCATAGCAAGAGCCATCTTGCGTGTTGCACTGTACACTGTGTTTGTCTTATAATATAAGTGATCCATTCTCCTCAGAGCAACTGCAGCAATCTTTTCCTTCTTGGATGACTCACTGAGAGTATTCAAGTAATCTGAGACGAGCCCAGAAAGCGCCATCAATGCTGCCTCATCCCTCAATCGATCCATATATGCGTTTGTATGTGGATCTAAGGCTTTTAATGACCCAGTCCACTCTTCATCCAGGCGTTCCAGGAATGCAGCAGGATTACCCCACACTGTGATCTCCTCATCTGCTGCAGGCTCTTCCTTTCTGTCATTCTCCACTGGATTATCAGAGAGCTTCACAGAAGGATTCTCAGCCACAAGAGACATCAGATCGAAGATTGAAGCCATGCATGTCTTCCAGTTTGCTGTGGTCATTGGTGACGATGTTGGGGTGTTCATATCAAAGATAACTGTTACCTTATGAACCAACACTTCAATCTTTTGCGCGGCACCACGGGCAACGCCGAACAAAAACGTCAGCATTTCTACCTGATCTTGACGGTCCAAAGACGTGGCACGTCCACGGGCAGCTGCAACCTCAGCCAGTTTTTTCTGGACCATCTCATAGGTAATCTCCTGAGGTGCAATAGAGAGGATTTTATCCTTGGGCCTTTCCACTACACCAGTTCGGACAGTCTTGAATTGACGCTCGGCTTCTGCTTCAGAATCCAACGACTCGATATCAGTCTCATCAGATTCCTCAGACTCTTCCTCAGATTCCTCGGGAGATTCTGGGTTCTCCTTGAACGCCTGAATCTGCTCTGCATACCCAGCATTATTCTTTCGAATAGTCTGCTTCATCCTCGCGAGTGCCCTTGCATTCGTAGGAGACAGCTTTGGCTTATCTGCACAGAACACAATAGATGATGACAATGACTCGAGACAGCCTCATTTGAACACACCGCGTGCACCAGCGGCAGCCAGCTCGCTCCGATACTGGCCAACGAAAAATTGCAAAATGGGCGGTGTCGTGTCCGAGTGGTTAAGGAGAAGGATTCGAATTGTCGAACGGTCAACTCCGGCATTTGAGCGTATCGCCGAACTCATCAAGCTTCGGATGATCCTTTGGGGAAACCCGCGCAGGTTCAAATCCTGCCGGCACCGATTTTTTTCCATCCCTCATGATGGACTGTTTTGCTGCGGTTCCCACGCCATCATGTAGACAACCCACGCGAAAATGAACGAGTAACAATCATACCTTGCAATGTCTTGCTCAAAAACTCCTCCAGTTCCACAATAATCTTTATGTACGGCCGAGGTGTCCCCAACATGCCGATAGCCCTCTTTGTCTTCTCAACCTGCTTGTGAAGCTTATCCCACAGCGTCTGAATAGAAAACCAATCATTGATATTCATCTTGTTGCGAATTTCGTTGCAAATGTTCGCCAGCTCCTCTGTCGCCTTTGTCTTGGCACTCTTCACCACTCGACGCTCCTCCTCAGACTCAGACTCTGACGACCCAACCAGGAACCGAGATGCCCCCTTTCCAGAGTCGTCTGACTCAGACTCCTCGTCTGTAGAAATCTCAGATGAATCATACTCTGATTCTGACGTCGTCTCCTCCTCTGACGTTGTAAACTCGTCCTCACTCTCCTCACTGTCACTTCTTCCCCAGAACTTGGACTGCATAGCACCATCCATGTATGTAAAATAATTAGGGAAAAGAAATGCTATATATATAGATGCACATTAGAAGCAACACCGCCCTCACGTCACAGTGCAGCCACAGGGCGGCGTCCACGAAGATATTCGACGATGCCTCTTCGACCTCATTTTCAATCCCATTGAATATAACATACCATAATGATCCACTCTGTCTATTGAAGATGAAGAAAAGGCGCTCCGTAGAACTACTGAACGGATGAAAACTAAAAGACGTGCTTTTGCTTTGCACTACCTCGTCCTCTCCCAAGCAGTAATGACACTCGGAATTCTGCGATTATGATTTGTTTTTACAGTGCTGTTTGAGTGACAGGTGGTGCTTTATACCGTACGTGTCCTCATGCGCTACGGACGAGAGCACTCCCTAATATGATGATAATGAATTTTCAGATCTTGCTGGCCTTCTGTCTGTTACATAATGTTCGAAACTACACAACTGCATGCAATTATCTAAGACTGATCGGCCAGCACTCTTTGATACATCCTCGAGGTCCTGTCGCACTGGATGCATGACAAATGCCTCGCGCATCAAACCATGCATACCCTGGGTCTCCAAGACATCAATATTGGTGTCAACAGTAAACCCACCAGGTGTGACCCGCTCGGTACAATGCATTGCCGCAAGGCTGGAGTTCGGTAGTAATAACTGATGTAGAGCATCAGCTGACTTGATCCAGGCACCACAGAACAATTCCCAATAATCACAGAGGCTCATAATCTGGCTGTTGTTAAGTTGGAGTGTCTTCACGAGCTCCAATATTGATGACTGATCGATCCTTGCTGGATCATCTGGCACAACACATTGACGCAGCATCTTACCCACTGGATCATCACTGAGATGCGACAAGATGCCTTCAGGCTGATTCTTAGCCATGTCAGCAACAACCTCTGCTCTCATGCTAAAGAGATCTTTCATTCCCATCTCCACCTCGCCCTGCTTCTCAGGGTCATCTCTGCATGCTTCATATGCATCAACAAGGCTTGACGCCTGTCTGCGGAATAGATTATACACGGAGGTAGGTGGAACTGTCTTCAGGACATTACAAAACATGCCCATCATTGTATCAGGCATGTTGCCATCTGTCTCAGCATTGGCCGCTTGCACAGACGGTGAACCATCGGCATATGAGATACCGATATTTGCATGTTTGTCCTCCAAAAATACATGAATGTCAGGTATCGCTCTCGTATCCAATGAAGGCTCAACTTGCTCACATTCAGATTGATCCCGCAGCATGGTGTATGCTTCCTGACTATATTCCAGCGTTGACACGATTGCATGCTGCTTGCTCCTCAGCTCTGTGTTTTGCTTTTTGGTCGATCCGATGGCTTTCTTCAGATCCGTAATCTCGGTTTTGATCCTCTTCTCTTGCTGCCTCTTCCTTTCACGGTACCTGCGCTGCCTCACAGCATTCTGATTATCTCGAGCATGTTTATTGGAGCTTTGTTTGCCCTTTTCACTCCTTGAATCACCAGAAATTACAGTCTTAGGACAATGGTCTAGGACTCCTGTAATCGTAGCACTTGTTGAGCCGTGATGCTGACTTGGGGTGCAGCCATGCCCCTGGGTGGCTGCTTCTTGCAATGCGGCTTTTGTCGGAACGCATAGCAGAGCAGGGTCCATGTCAAGGCACAGATCATCTCCCAAGCCTTTTATTGCGCCAATGTCACCAAAATTGAGGCAATCTTCTGCACTGCCTGGTTGTGCCTCCATCCCAAGCAGAGAGGCTGTCTCTAGGGTATGCACATCAAACTCAAATCCACACGACTGCGTAGCAGGAACTGCTTCGATATACTTGTTTTGGGGGGAAGAATTTGCAATAAAGTGCGCCAAACGCCCAGAGATGTCGCTTTGCTCTCCCAAGAAGGAGCCACGGCCAGGGTTGACGTCTTGCGTGCTAGTTATGACACCAAGATTCTTACTCTGTCGCGGAGGGGAACGTTTCATATCCTGTGATGTCCGATAAATTACATCTATTAGATGCTAATAGCAGTTAAACTGCTAATGTTCTCGGAAACTGTAAGAAGTGCTCGTACGGTTGTTCTCAAGTACCGGATACCGCAGAGTTGTAGGATTTTGTGCTCAGAGCGCGACCCTCAAGGGTACCCTTCAACCGGTTGATACCGGTCAACGTTGAGCTCGACTTCTAGGCCGTACGGTAGTTCCAGGATAGGGTCTGCAAGCAATGGATCATGTTGCCCGCCCCCCTGTTTCCCTGTAATTCTATTAAGTTAGGATCCTCTCGTCTTGGTACGATTGTTTCCGTCATCAATCTAGGTGTACGGCAAGTCATGGAGCTCGTCGGGAAATGGTGAAGCCAACTGACTTGGGTGCACAGCATACCTTGATCAAAAAGCACACCATCATGATCGGCCGCCGTGACGCGCACCAGTCGAGACTTGAAGTTCCTCTTGAAGATTTGCTATGTAACAATAGTAAACAACATTATAAACATTATAAAGGCACAAAACAGTTTTGTTATCAGATGTGTTTACCTACTTAAATATGCCTTGCTCCCAGTTGCATTCAAACCAAGTGCACAGAATCATGGTGGCTGCTAACTTGGTAGTAAAACTTTTCTCCTTACACGTGAAGACCTGTGTCAAGCGAGAGATCCGCTAGCATCAATGGCACATGTATGCACCATGGTGCTGCCTGTTGAGACATGCAGAGTCTAGCTTTTTGTAGTGGAGTGAAAACCGCATAGATGTTCTGGGCGAGCCCTAAGGCCATCACTACCCGATTTTTCAATACAGCATCAATCTTTTGGCACAATGTATACATCCTGTTTGTATAGTGCATCAATCCATGCACACCTTGTGATTCAAGGACATCAACCAGGGTGTCAACCAAGCTCTCAGATGTACACTTTGCAGTGCCATCCACCTCCTGACGCCCACAGCTTCGTGTAAGACAAAGCCACAAGGCTTGATCAGATTCGTTGCAAAAGCTTCTGAATATTTTCCAATGCGAATAAAGGGATGCTATCTGGCTACTGGTGAGTTTCAGCTGTCTTACAATTGCCAATATGGATACCTGACTCGCTTTCATGGAGCTACCAGGCAAAGAGCTTTGATGTAGAAGATCACCTATCCATCCATCAGTGACAAGCGACACGATGATGTTAGGCTCCTTTTCAGCCATTTCATCAACCACAAGAATCCTCTTGCTGAACAGAACCTTCATTTCTGTTTCTAGTACTTCTTGCTTCGCATCATCACCATTGCACTCATCATATTTATTGATCAAGGTTTCGAGTTGGCGATGAAATCGCTGATACATAGAGTTAGAAGGAACTGTCTCCAGAATATTGGAGAACATATCCAGCATAGTGCTGACTGGAACATCTTTTTGTGCATGTTGGAAAGAAGACAGCACATCAGCATATAAAGGGTATACATTTGGATCCATCTTTGCCAAAAAGGTTTGAATATTATTTTCAGCCCCCTCATCCAACTTACAGTCCATGTACTCTCTTTGAGTTCGACCCTTCAGCACATGGAATGATTCCTCACGACGCTTCAGCGTTGCCGTCAGGGAATCTTGTTTACTTTTCAATTCCATATTCTCTGTCTTGAGAGACTCGATGGCTTCCTTTGCAAGCTCGATTTCCTCCTGGAGTTTTTTCTCTCTTTGCTTCTTCCGAAGTCGGTACTGAAACTGTCTCGTGGCCTTCCTACTCCTTTTAGATTGTTGGTTGCCCGCCTGTTTTCTCTTTAAGTTACATTGAACTTTTTGGCCTCCAGTAATTTCCGGTGCCAAGCCACAGGCCATCTCTGGGGCGTGTTCCAGCATGGAGTCGAGGCACTGATCAGTTGCTTCCTGCAAGCTGGGCTTTGTTGAAGCAGAGGCTATCGTCATCTCAAATTCTTTAGGTAATAGACCTTCCAGAAAAGTTCCGTGCAGGCCAACATTGGGAGACTGCGAGGGATCTTTGGTCCCTTCCTGAGACCCTATCCCAGGCAGAGAATCTGGCTCCAAGAAACTGATAATATCAGCCCCATTGAGTTGCGGTACTCCAATTTCTACATTATCATTCTTTGTACAAGAGGCAGCACCACGGCTTAAATGATCCCTGCTACTATGTACATCTAGAGGGAATTGGGACCGAGTGCTACGACCTAGGTCGACGTTCTCTCTCCCAGTCATATCATCCCACAAGATGTGGTTTGAACAAGCGATACTTCAACAAATATATAGGGAAAAATGGAAAAGACATAATCTTCAAGAACCCCAGGAAACCCCAGGGTAACCTCGTGCCACTGAGTGCGGCACGTAGTGTCATCTTCTCGATCGCCATATATGGCGTATATACGGCCTGCACCAACCCCCGGCCGGGTCTGTGGCCATCCGCTGGAGTCATCCACATGGATGAGTGCACCAGTATCCCCCTTCGTACAGAAATTTCACCGAGAGCATCATACAGTCATCTGCATGTCGCC